TACTTCTCCACCCTCCCCTGGTAGACCCTTCGCTCATGGACAGCACTCCAAGGCTTCTAGTTTCCCTCTTTCCACCGGTAAAGCATGGCTGCAGGCCTCACACTGTAGCCTCTGGCCTCAGCTTCCAGCTTTTATACCAGCCTGTTCCTCTCCAGCTGGGCTCCATCTTCTATTAGGGCTAGCCTAGCCAGCTTAGTTCTCCCCAAGTGCAGCCTATTAGGTTAGTTAGTCCTTTCCCAGCTACCTTAATACTTTCAGTGAGGGGTGGAGTGAACACCCCATCACTGTATATGAAACCTTTCAAAATGAAGTCATTTTGAAACAACAACAAAAATCCAAAAATTTGAAAGCTTTTTTTTTTGTCTAAACAAAAATTGTCAAAGTGGATACAAGTTTACAAAAAAAAAATTATTGGTCAACTCTAAACATTTTTTGACTGAAAATTGTTTTGATTAAAATTTTCCAATCACCTCTATGCACAAGAGGGAAAAATACATTTTTCACACTGGCAAAGTTCACACACTCTCTAGTATCCAATATTTGAATTTCATGACCTGACCTGCCTAGTATCTCCCAATACCTGGTGGCTCATACCACAGAGCTAATGTCATGTGGAAATCTAATATTTGAACAAGATTACCCAGAATATAGAACCAAACAAAAAATGATACAACCATAGTAAATGCTGCTAGTTGTCTTCTCTCAATATATCATACTCACTGAAAAAGATGAGATTCATACCCTCAGCCATGGGCCAGCTCCTTAGCTGTTATAAATCAATGTAACTCCATTGAAGTCAATGACCCTACGCAGATTTTGCACCAGCTGAGGATCTGGCCCTATGCCTCTCTTCAAAGTGAAATTACATCAAGGATGTAGACTACAGCATGAGTGCCATCTTTGGACAAATTGCCTAATAATAAATTCCATTTCTTATGAGGAGATGTATGATATTGCTCTATCATTACAGTGTTTAATTTTTATAACAGAATGACAAGTATTGTAATTATATTTTCATATTCATGAAATAGTCAAAAAGTAGGTGTACAGGGAGAAAAAAGAAATAAAGATTTAAGATGAGGCAATACTGATTACAATGTATTCCTCTTCAAGTTGGATATGTCCTGGATAAGATGTTATACACTTTGCTAAAGATAATACATGATACTGCTATGGCTATATATTATATATTCATAGGTAAGGCTATGATTTTGTAATGGATATTCTTAGTAAAAGTCAGGACAGGTCACGGGCAATGAATAAAAATTCACAGAAGCTGTGATCTGTCCCTGACTTTTACTAAAAACATCCCTGACAAAATGGGGAGGGAGGGAGGTCCAGCACCCTGCCCCACTGCATACAGTGGCAGGGAGCTGCAGCCCCTCACCCTATCTAGTGGCTGGGAGGGGGGTATCCCCTCTGCCCACAGGGGCTCGAGAGCACCGGGGAATCCCACGCCGCACTGCAGGACTGGAAGCTGGGGGGACAGCTGGGAGCTGTGTGGGGTCCCCCGCTGCCACAGCAGCTGGGCTACTGCGGGGCCCCAATGTCACAGAGGTCGCAGAAAGTCACGGAATCCGTGACCTCCATGACATACATGTAGGCTTATTCATAGGGCAGACCCTCAGATGATGTAAATTGTCTTCAATGGAGCTAAGACAGTTTGCACCTGCTGAAGATCTGCCCTATAATTCTGAGTGTGTGGCCATATGGATTGCCCAGCCTAGAATTTGAAAATACTTTAGGCACTCACATTTGAAACTTGGGTTCTCTAAATGGCAAATGTGTACACACTAAATAATTACCTAAAGTTCTCCAAAACACATAGTTTAACACCTCAGGGAAAAAAGTCACTTTACACACCCAAAAGTGGCCAGTGATCTGCAACATACAAAAACCAGACCTCCCCTACCTCAATCCTATTGGCAAACACTAATGAAAACAAAAATAAAGGAATAAGAGATCCCACTCGTTTGACACAGTGCAGATTTTCCTGCTGTATGAAAGTACTCCCTCTTCCACTTGCAGTTTATGAAGATGGTGCATGCCTGTGTGTGTAAATCAAGAGGGAAGAGGAATGGGTAGAGTGGGGGTTCTCATGACCCCAGGAGGGGGGACCAAAGCCTGAGACTGCCTCAGCCCCCACTGTCCTGGGTGGGGGGACCAAAGCCCAGGGATTCAGCCCCTGACAGGGGGCCTGCAATCTGAGCCCCACCACACAGGGCTGAAGCCTTTGGTCTTCAGCTTTGGTCCCGGGTGATGGGGCTCACGCTTTGGCCCCGGGCCCCACCAAGTCTAACGCCAACCTTGGTGACCCCATTAAAATGGGGGTGTGACCCACTTTTGGGTCCAGAATCACAGTTTGAGAACTGTTGGGCTTGAGGAACCAAGCAGGAAAGGCAACATCATAGCCTAGATAAGGAACTTCCTAAAACACACACAAGCCAGGTTTATAACTGTGAAGAGATGACTCTTCAGCCCCAACCTTGGTGAGACAGCTCCTTTGCCAAGGCTGGAAAGAGAATCAAAGACAACACTAAAACATTAGAGGAGCCCAGGGCCTAGCCTTTAAAGGAGTGGGCAGAGACTGCCCAGGAAAGTGCCACCAAAACATTGACCAGGCTGACCAGGGAACACACAGACAGACAGAGGGAGCATGTTTTAAGCAGGACAGTGTTTCTCCCTAGCCAGAGGTTGAGGTTAGCTGGGATGAAGAGAACTTGCAGAAGCTGGCAAGGAAAGATTAGAGTACGAGTAAGACATATAAGGCTTTACATTGTACTTTCAGTGAATAAATAAATGCTGCTTTGTTTTGAAGACCCCCCTTTTTTTTTTGAGCCACTCTAATCAAATTGGTGGTCACAGCTCCCCACAGTGAAAGAGCTTACAAGTGCCAAATGCAGTTGGGCCTGTTGCATTAACATAGTTGATAAATAGGAGCGGACACCTAAAGACCCAGTTCCAGAGTGGTTGGACCATGTGGTTCTGCTCAGAAAGATACAGGAAGCCATGCCCGTCATCTAAGAAGGACTAAAAGGGGTCTAAAGTGCAGTTCATAACCATGACAGAAAGTACACAACCAATCTTCGTGTAACGGTTTAACAATAATATTTCTTAATTATGCATCTGTTTTTCTTAAGGAATTTAAAACCATGCAGTGACTTCAGTGGGAATTTGGGTTGCAGAAAGGTGGTGAACTTGATCCCACTGCACAGGGCCTGGAAAAGCCAGACTCAAATAATAGAACAAGAATAAGTGAAAGTGCCTAGGAACATGTCCTTGGGGGTGAGATCCCACAGCTCCAATCCAATGTAGGATGAAGCGCTTGCATAACTGAGTCAGAGTTTAAGGTGGTTTCAAAAAATCATATTTATTCCTTGGTTTGAAAGATTTTGGTTCAACAGTTTTTGAACAAACTTCAGAAAGTGTGCAGCAAAATATTTGGAGCATAGCATCTTAGTTTGCAGTGGTATGCAAAATGTTAAGTTTTACCATAATGTTTACTTCAGTTATACAATAGAAGTTTTTCCTCATTAGCACTTTACAGTAAAGCGGGGAACCTTAAAAAAGGAAACATTTACCTTACCATGATATAAGCACCTCATCAATGTATTGCATTCTAGGTGATAAGGTATTTTTTTCAAGCCTCTCATTGTACAACTATTGGAGACATTAGTGCCATCCTTTTCCATTAAGAAAAGGGCCTTCTAATATATTCCAAATTGCTACAGCATAAGATTTTTTTTCATAAAACAACAACAACAAAAATAGAGCTGATGATAATACAGCAGAATATCCCCATTACTGGGTGAAAGGAAGTTACAGTAGATGGAGGCTGAACACATGGAGTACAGCTACTCTGCAATAAGAGAGCGTTGGCACAGCTGTGGCTGGCCCTGGCTAGCTGACTCAGGTTTATGGGACTTGGGTTGAAGGGCTGCAATTTGCAATGTAGACACACATTCAGGCTCAGACTGAAGCCCGGGCTCTGAAACCCCATGATGGGGGTGGGTCTCAGAGACCAGGCTCCAGCCCACTCCCAAAATATCTACATTGCAATTTTTAGCCCATGCCCCCAGCCCAAGTCAGCTGACCCAGGCTCCGAGACTCGGTGCTACAGGTTTCTTATTGTAGTGTAGACAAACCCACAGTCTAAAGTAGACAAAGCAAGACCATTCTTAAAAAAAAAATGAATGTCAAGCATCATTGGATTTTTTTCTATTTGTAAAAGGATTTTTGTATTTCATAAATAAGTGGAAAAATTACTAAAACATTTTGTTATATAGTACATAGTATAAAAAGGCATTGAAGTGTTTTCCAGCTGCCATTTAAACACTAGATGCAACTGTGTAGGAGTAAGTATTTGGAGGTGGCTTTGCACCCTGATAATTACAGTTGTCCCAGCATGGCAGAGCTGCCACCAACAGAAGAAATCCACCCAGCAGAACACAAAGTCCACTAAAGCAGAATGCAATGTCATATGTCTGTGTCCAGTCATAAAACCAACCTGAAAAAGAATAAAACTTAGATCAATGATATGCAATTACTGAACATACAGCAGAAATGTATTGAGAATCATCATATTTGAATTCACAAAAAAATGTAACATTACAACATTATATACTAAACCATAAAACATGCAAACTAACAAATATAATCTAAAAACTGTTTAGCACAACATGTAATATTTCATCATGTTTATATTCCCCTTACATTAGTCTAGTCAGCTCTAGAGAAATGTGTTTGTAACTTTCTAAATATTTTAATTTCATCATTCTACTATCATCACAACTAACTAGAAAAGACTTCAGTGTAAATGCATTTAATTTGGTACTGAACAGAATCTATAACAATTAGAATTTGACATTACTTAATCCAATATCTTACCAACAATTGGTGGTCCAAGGCTATTTCCAAGTCCAGCAAAGAACATTAATATCCCATATGCATGTGCCAGTTTCTCAATTCCCACAGTCTTTGTGGTTACATATGGAAAAATTGACCAATTCCCAGTGAGAAAACCTAAAATTCCTGAAAGAACTGCCAACATAATGTAACTTTTGGCAAATGGAATTGCAACCAAGGCCACGCCGGTCATTATTAAGGTAATTACATATAGGTATAAAGTATTAATCCATTTAAAATCTGCCAGTACTCCTAAAACAAGTTTGCCAACTGCAGTCATAATCCCTATAATGGAGATAAGAGGCATAACATATTCTTCTTCACTAATGTTTGAACTTCTTGCTACATCTTCCATAAGCAGTGAAGGAGGAAATCCACCAATGTCAAAAAGTAAGATGGCAATAAAAAGTGATGAGAATACTTTGTTTTTAAACAGAAACAACGTTTCTTCCCAGTAGTTTAAATACAGTTGCCATTTCTTCTTGGCAAGCTGTTTGCAAAAGTATGTTTGTTCTACAACTTTCTGTTTATAAGTGTCTGTCTCTTTTGCATGTATTGATATTAATCCATTCTTATTTAAAATGCTGTCCTGTTTGCAATCACGACTGGACATATTATTCACACTTTTTTCTTCACTGTAGCCCTTTTCTAGGATGCTTGTATTTTCTTCAACATTTTCTTTCTCGTAGTAAATCAAGTATTGATCTGGAACTTTTTCTAGGCATGACTTTTCTGGCAAAGGGGAATCCGATAACTCCAAAGGTCTCATTAGACTGCCACATGCTAGTATATTTAGAGATAATGCTCCAACTATTAGCAAACATCCATCTAGTCCATATAGCTCAATGAGTTCTCTTTGTAATGCTGCGTATATAAAAAGTCCAACACTTGAACCTAGAAAAGGAAATAAGATCAGTGTAAGTTATTTCATGAGGTTACCTCAGTTCTCCAATAGCAAGCTTTAATATTAAAGAGACTGTGAACTACAACTGACAGATAAGGTCTTTTAAGGAAATTGCCCTATTATATTAAGTGTATGTATTATCTTGGGCTAGGATTGTATGAAAGATACAAAATATGGAAATTATAAAGTATATACTGAAAATGTGTCAGACAAGTATGGACTTTTAGGACAATAAGTGTTAAGTAGACTTCCTGGGGAATCCCTAGGAAGAGGTTAATGAAAATTACCCAATTCCCACTATGCAAATAAATTACCATGAAGAGAGTCTTTGTCTGCTGATTACCTGTTACAGAAGACCATGACCAAAGCCCGAGCTCTATAAATAAATGGCTGCTCTGGACAGCCATTGTGCTAGTTCCAGATTTAAGACAAATATGAACCTGTAACCATGCAGAAAACCCAGTTATGGGTTTTGAGGGAATAAAACCTACCAGAGCCCTAGGCTGGAGTGGGGGGTGACCTCTGCTAAACTTTATCATATACGTAGGTTCTTTTCTTGTTTTAATAGGTCTTCTCTGTAATGTTTTTACCTTAAGAATGAATGGGCTTGCTTAGAAGGAACTGTGTGATAACTTATATTGTGGGCAATACACTGGTCACAGCCATCAGAGACAAAGCAAAGCACAGGTACTGGCCTGTTTAGGCAGTCTGGCTTGCTGGGGATATCAGAGTGTAAATCCAGGGAGTTGTGCCTTTTGACATTAAATTTTCTTTTTTTGAATCTATGCTTGTAGTGAATGAAAACCCTTGTCATTTCAATTTATCTGAAAAAAAAACATACTGGAAGTAATCACGTCAACAAGGATTAATACAAGTTAAAATATCAATATGAATAAAGTATGAAATGAATGACTAAAAGGGTGTCATCAACTTGAAATACAGTGTTTTTTAAAAAAATGAATAAGGACTCAGCATAAGCACACCAGGTAACCATCTTTCTCAGAATTTTTCTCTGGGGTTTTGCAGAAGGAACAGGAGGCTGGAGCCAGAGGGGTTCTATAGCGCAGTGCGGCCAGTGGTGCAGTCCACAAGCATGAATATTCAAAGGCAACATTCACAAATAACTGCCAAGCAATCGTTTTATACAGCCTTACCACAATAACTATTTTATAAGAAATCTTCAAGCCAAATTCAGCCCTTGGTTTAAGTGAATGCAGCTTCACTGCTGTCAATGGCGTTCCAACTACTATACAGTATTGAATCTGGTTGTTTGAATAAAGTTAATGGGACGTTGTCATGTAAATTTGTTATAATATGGTGGAGAAAGTCTACCAATTTCTAAATTGGGGGGGGGGTGTTAAATTCTACATAGCTATGACATAAATCTGAACATTTTTTTATTGTACCACATTGGGAAAAATTTAGACATAAAAAAATTCACAGAATTATTCGGTCTTCCACACGACATGATCACCAAAAACAACCACAACTTTGACAAAATTAAAAAATAGTATGGATCAGATCATGCCCTGCCACAGTAAGACACTGAGATGGGATAGTATTTAGACTCTATGCAGCAGGACTCCACACCAGGGCAAAACTGCTCCAGAAGGGGACTCAGAGAAAAAGATAATGCAACCCACAGGGCCAGAGGTGGGACAATGTGCACTCTCAACTACACCCTGCTCTGCCCACTCCCATGCTGGCTTACTCGGTCTACAACCCCTTATCTGTAAGGATGATGGACAATTCCAGGAGACCAGAGGATGGATGGGACAGCGCTGTGAAGGAGGCTGAGCCAAACTGTCTCAAGAGATCCACACTCGGTGGATCCCTTCCATGTAAATATTTAAGTAGCTTGGTTTGGGCTGTTGACTTCAAGCTTTTAAAAAAAAATTTAAAAACTTTTCAGTGTCCTTTTAAAAGTCAAAACCAACAATGTCTAGAAAATGTTCCATTTAAATTACAGCTTTGCTAATTGTCCCCTAATAAGCTTATATAAACAGCAATTCTAATTATAAACAAAGGGCTACATTTTATTCTAGAGCATCATTTTTGTTATTTTGCACTACCATTCACAGCTATATAGACTGCTAACAACTACTGACCCAAATTTTGGCTTTGTTAAAGATATTTTTGACTAATCCTTTCTGATTCTCCATTAGTCACTAATATCAGCAGTAAGCAGTTTAGGACAAATAATTTATAAACTAGAGATTTGTAATATTTTAAAAACATACCTGTTGAAATCAAACCAAGTGCAAGGCCTCTGCGTTTATCAAAATACTGACAGGTGATGGTTACTGTTGCTGTATATAATAAGCCACAGCCAAGCCCTAATAAATATAGGAAGTTTATCAAAGCGTAAAGCATCCTGTATAACTATACATAGTTTACCTTTTTTTAGAAAATTCAAGAACTAGCTAATACTTGACAACATTCAATTAAAACATGTAGAGCAGTATCATTAATGAATATAATTAAAGATTGGATGTGAAGGATCAACTTATAAATAAAATCTTAGGTCTACATTCTTGTTTCCCTCAAATTACATTTATGGTTTGTTTTTCCTTACATCAGATACATTTTTATAAATATGAATTTATCTTTCTATCCACATTTAAAAACAGAAACAAACAACAAACCACCAGACTTCTGAATTTTAAAGACTTACTTTCAAAGCACAAGCAATACTTTTTAATCACATGGCGTAAATTCGGTTGGTCTGTACCTCCAGATCCAACAAATCGCAAAGACCAATAATGCTCTTTGTATATTTTCTTAGTCTATATCACAACTACCTTAATTTTGGCCATACATAGCCAGACTGTCTAAAGCTACTCCTGCCATTTTTTAAACGATAACGTCATTTTTCAAGACTATTACAATAAAAGGAGCCTAAATGTGAAACTTCAATATTAATCTTCCTGTTTTCCATATGAATCACATACTCTACCAATTACTACTGCTTCATTGGCTTCCATCCAAACAGCTGTAATGACGGATTTTCCAAATTACTAGGATGGCTAATTGTGTGCCAGGTAGTTTAAGATTATAATACTAATCCAACCATTATCAAATAGGAATGCTTCCTTCCTTTGTTTTACTCTACATCAGACTATTTCAAACAGAGTGGCTGGTTGCTAGCTAGTTGGAATACTGCAATTTCGTGTATCAGTGTAACTTCAATTCAGTTACATGAAGAAAACATAAGATAACTATTTGCTAATGATCTCTGGTTTGTTATCTAAAATTAATAAACAACTACTCCTTCTACTACATGATTCCTTATAAGCTTTTATTCTTACAAATTTACAACTTCACAGCTATGGGAGAGAACTTGAAGAAAGTAGGGTAATAGACAATCTCTGCCTTCTTCTACCACCAATCAGCAATATCAAGGAAAGGTAATAACACATTAGTTTTTAGACTAATCCTCTGAGGAGTCCTCAAAAGCCTTCATACTCCTTGTATTTGACAGTATTGTAACACAATCCATTAATTCTTAAAATAAACAGTTCTCTATATCTGGATAACTAAGGCCTCAATCCTGCAACTGCAAATGTGCAGCAGACCCCTGTGCCCACACAGCCCTAAAGTAAGAACTGCTTGCATGAGTAAGCATTTACGGAATCTGGTCCTTATTCTGAAAAAAACAGACTTTATACATATTCAACATTTAGTTTCTGAATGATTAGTCGCAATATGAACAACAATGAAATTTCTTACCAACAATAATTCCATATGAAAAAAACAGAAAATATATATTCGGTGCAAAACTGCTCATCATCAGGCCCCCAGCCACCATAAAGCCACTGAAGATTGTCACAGGTCTTGCTCCAAAAGAAGACACACATGCACTACAGACAGGACCTACAGCGAAGGTGAGGGAAGAGAAGAGAAGAAAGAAAATAGCTTTTAAATATCAGTCCCAATAAAAAAGAACTCAAAGGTTTTTTTCCCCAATAATATATTTGGTGTAGTTCTTAAAAATTGTTCAGGATCCCAGTGGTATTATAGTCTTCAATACAATACATCATAAACCTACAATGTCACATTGCATTTGCATGTATTATACATTCTTGACAAGTTTCATTCAAACAGTACTGAATGATACTGGAAAAATATGAACATTCTATTTTACATCTTTAATGATATTTTAGAAAAGCCTGGTGCTATAATCATAAAACAACATAGGATAACATTTAAAAACGTCAAGCTGGTTTGTTCTGTTGTTGTTTTTTTTTTGTACTAGTGTTATTGTAGCCATGTTGGTCACAGGATATTACAGACAAGCTTTTGTGCTACACAGAGCTCTTCTTAGGGTCCTGAAGGGCTTGTCTCTTTCACCAACAGAAGTTGTTCCAGTAAAAGATATTATCTTACCTTGTCTCTCTATTATTAATTTTTCCTTACATTCATGGCAACAGTGCCATCTGGTGCTTACACTAAGAAAACATCTACTCTAAATTACCTTTCTCCCAAATCTTTCAGGAAATGAAAGACTGACTACAAATAGACTATTTTGATAAGAGATTGTTGTAAAAAGCTTTTCTGATGTTTATTTTAAAACTGGCATAACATGAGGGATTTAGTGTAGACCACAGCTGTGGGGCATTGTAGCTGAATTAGTCTAGAACAGTGATCATGAAGCATAGAGGAGCTCTTTTTTCATTAATTTCAAAAATAATATAGTAAGTAGAACATTAAAGTAGAGGGAGTTAAAAATCAGATACATGAGTAAGCTGCTGTCTGTTACAGGCAGGGAAATACAGAATGCAAAACAGAGTCATATGCAAGTATCTGAAATAATTCCTAGTGGCATCACGATACACCTCTAATAAGTCCCACTAAATAAGCCTCCTTTTCCCACACGTCTCCCTCATCTTTCCCGTAGAAGACGAGGCTACAGAACAGAGCTTTTTTTTTTTTTTTTTTTATTTAAATGAGAGGCAGGGGCTGGCACAGTTCAGGGAAATTGCACTGGCCTTTTCCTTCTATGGCCCAGCAAGGGCAACCACTTTAGGCTCCTGGTTTCTCGGCTGTCACCTTTCTTGGGTAGAGACACACATCTCTCCCTGACCAGGGTTTATCCAGGCAGCACAGTTCCCTGCTGAATGGAGTTCACCAGCAAGGCAGACTGTGCTTTGCTTTCTCATCACAGGCTACAAAACAGGTTATTTCCCCATAGTTGTAAGTTACCACACGGCTCTTTCTAAGTCAGCACGTTTATTCTTAAGCTGAAAGCATTACAAAGAAAACATATTAAAAGCAATAAAAAGAACCTGCATGTGTGATCATAAGCTTACCAGAGTAATAATAATACTTGTAACTAGCAGCGGCCTTGAGCTGCAAAATTCAAACTCGTATCTGAAATTCCTAAGTTTGGAAGTCTTCAGAACCAGGTTTTTAGACTGGCAAGTTTTAGAGCCAGTAGCCATTTGAGAAGATCAGACTTCAGAGTTAAAGGATATTTGGATCTAGCCCATATCTAATTGCAATTCTCTAGAAGTACTATATAGAAGATGGCAGTATGGTAGATTACTACTGTACTAGATGACATTTGTCAAGTTGGTCATGCTTATGTTAAGGGAAAACATGAGAAATTCCCAGAAGATGGGCATTAAGGCAAGGTGGGTAACATAAGGTAAACAGCAGTTGCAAATTAGTGAAGGTGGGAACTGGGAATGTGAGACAGGCTTTTAGTACGGTTAGCAGCAGTACTGGCACAGGCACAAGCAGTTCTGGGAAGGAGGCTGGGATGGAGTACAGATCTGGCAGCTGAAGGGAACCATAGGTCAAGTGAAAAGCAGGTCAGAGCTTTTGCTTCTACAGAAGTTGTTAGTTTTAGGACTCTTCATTATGGCTCTATCCAGGCAAGGGATAAGGGAGAAAGAGTTAGTGAAGGAAACTAGAAGCTTGATTCTGGAGGCTGGTTATTTTGATTTTAGAAGAGGTAAGGAAGCTAGTTGGAAGTTCAACCTTGCTGCTTGTCAAGGGGCAAGGCAACAATCAGCATATTGTGAGGATGAAAGTTCTGCAGTGCAATTAGTGAGGGCAAGTGCTTGAAGTGTTAGGTTGCTGGTGATTCTTGAAATTAATTACTAGACTGGCAAATTAAAATTGGTATGTTTCTTAAAACCACAAGATTTAAAAACAACTACACAGGATGTCTGTGTGTTACATAAGAAGTTCTGCTACATTAAAAACATTAGGCAGTGATAATTCCATTGAGCAGAGGAATCTGTACTCTTTTTCATTCTCTATTTCTTGGTCAGTACACTGTGAACAAGAGAAACAGCACTTCCTTTTCCTTCCTCCTCTTTCTATGAAGGAAATCTCCAAATTCCAGGACATCCTTCTTACAAAACTTTCCAGTATGGCTTGGTGGGTCAGTGGCAATTCAACAAGTTACCAAGCAGGGGATCAGAGTTGAAGCAGTAAGTTTGGCCCTTTGCTCCCATGCCAGCAAGAAGTCAAAACATGCAACACTGTGCAAAGTGCTGCCTCATACTACTCTCTCATAATCTGTTATCTCCTTTGGACCCCATCATGAGCAGCTTTGATAGGGTCCAGAAAGAGCCACATCCAACCTGCCCCACTGAAATATGTTTCATTCCAAAATAGGGTTGAAGGTGAGGAACGAAACCAATGGTGGAGGAACAGAGACCATTGTTGCCCCTTCCTCCCCACTCCCCCGAGGAAAAAACATCCCATAGCTGCATTATCAATGCATTATCTTGCTTCCTTGTGACAAAGATATGTGGTATTCCAGTGATGAACCTATTTACCAGCAGAAGGAATGCCAGAGTAACTATTTAAAAGGGACCCCAAGGCTCTTGCTGAAAACAGACGCTCACATTGGGAGACATAACTTCTTCTTTATAAATTCCCTCTGCCACCCCTCACTCAAAAGAGGGTCCACAAATAAAACTGACAGTTACTGTACTCAGACCTCATACGGACGTCCATAGCTCAGAATGTCTGTCTCTCTCTCCCAGTAAGTCGACATCCTGTCTCAAAGGACCCAATACCTTTGACTCTAACTTTATGGGATCCTGAACAAGGAGATTCTAATAGAAGCATGATATTCTCTAAAAATAATTCAAATACTATAGGCAGGACCAGCTCCAGGTTTTTTGCCACTCCAAGCAAAACAAAACAAACAAACAAAAAACCACACACAAAAAACAAACGGAGTGCCGTCCATTGAAAAGTGCTGCCCCAAGCACATGCTTGGAATGTTGGTGCCTAGAGCCGGCCCTGACTATAGGCTTCCAGGAAATCATTTATCTCAAAAACTTAGTACAGGAAAAGAAAGTGAAGCCTGAAGATACAGACATGTCAAATATTCTACAATTTCTGCAAGATGCTGTGGCCCTAGATTTAGGAGCCTATTCCTTAAAGGTCCATTTTTCAGGAGTGTTCTAAATTTATATGCTGAATCTTTTAATACTTCACATTCCCAAATTCTCACATTTCAGAGAGCAGTTAAACTGGTCAATCTCCTAGATTATCCATCTTTCTGGAATGGGATTTAAACTTGGTTTTTATGGGCTTCTTCCTTTTCTGTCTTCAAGGCCTTGCACATAAGATATCTACTTTCTGTCAATAAAAATATGATTTCTGGTAGCCATTATCTTTGACAGGAGAGTTTCAAAGATAACAGTACTCTCCATGGAAGAGTCACACAGCAGCCTTCACCAGAATAAAATAATTCTCAGACAAACTCATTCCTTCAGTAAAGTAATCTCTCCATGGTTCTTAAGTAGTAATTACTTCCTCACGTTTGCTAAACATCTGCAAGACAATCTCTGGCATAAGCTTGATGTCAGAAGATTTATAAATATCTGCCTCACACACAAATAAGAAAATGTTCCTCACTTTTTTATTTCTTTCCATCCAAATTATTAAGGACCGTAAATCACCTATAGCTAACTCTAAGGCAAAAAGCCACATCAGAGATCTGCAAGGCAGCCATGTGGCCATCAAGCTCCACCTTCACAAGACACTACTACTTAGATCTTTTGACCACTGCGGACACATTCTTTGCAAGGCAGATGCTTCAGTCCAGGGGTCCCTAGACAATTCTTCTTCACAGGCATCAGGGCTTCACCCTGCTTTGCAGACCATCAGTACTAACATCTCCCTCACTTCACTTTCTCAAATTGTTATTTCTTGGTTGTGATGATTTAGCAGAAATCAGGGTGGATAAAAAAAATCAATGATTTTTTTTTTAAATTTAAATCCGATTTTTTTGATAAAATGTTTTGAGGTAAAAACCTATGTAAAGATATCTTAATTAAAACTATCTTTGAGCTATAATGTATCTCATCATGGAATAGGGATGATAAATTCTAATTATATAGTATGAGACAATATATTCATGTAATATTTAAGAAAAGTTTTGTAAATGAGTTCCAATCGTTCATGGATTAGGGACCCAATATTATGGGGTTCCAGGGGCTTCTGTATAGAAAGATTAGCCTAAATAACCTATCTACCCAATGAGACTCGGTGCGCAATCTAGAAGATACCACCAGAGATGCTGAGTTTTGCAGTTCTCAAACGGTGGATTTGTCTCCAGAGATAATATGCTTGTTAACAGCAAAAATGTTTTTAAATAAATAAATATAGAGAGGTGAGAAATAACAGACCTCAACCCTATTGTCCCTCTGCACATTTGTGTACACAGAGTCAATCCCTTACCTCTCTCTAAAATAGGATGATCAGACAGCAAGTGTGAAAAATCAGGATGGGGGTGGGGGTTAATAGGAGCCTATATAAGAAAAAGATCCCAAAATCAGGACATCTGGTCACACTACTCTAAAAGGGCAACGTTTCAAAAAGGTCAATGAATAGAAGATTGTTGG